CCGACAGCAGCTCCGCGCCCCAGTTCCCTCCCAGTCTGTCCCAGTGCCGCCTTGGCGGGTGGGCAATGAGCTGGCAGACCCCCTTACAAGGACACGTTGTGGGACCGGGACCCCCGCGTGAGTCTGGGGAGCGGGGCCAGGTCCTGGCAGCCCCATGGGGCAGCGGGGAGCCCCACCAGCCGTGGGGTGATGCTGGGCCTTATCTGGGCCCAGTGACCGGCTATTTCAATTAAAATTCCTGGCCGGCCTCAGGGGCTGGTGTCTGCTGATAGCCCTGACAGAGCAGAGCTAGTTTTTGTCTGGGTTGGGTCGGTATCTCCCGCGCCACCGAAATAGCCAAACCGGACTGTTAGGGGAAGCTGAATAAATAAACGACCCAAACGCAGGCAAGGAAGCAAGGGGCTGGAATGGGAGGGAAAATAAATACAGTGGCTTGGGGAGAAAAGGGCTCACAGGTCGGTCCTCGTTCCTGCGTAATGCCCGGGTGCGTTCCGGGCCCCTGTACTCCATGTTTTCAGCTCTGGGTGCCTCGGAGCCCGCGGGACATCCCCGCACACGGCGCCTTCTTCGCCAGAGTAAAGTAGGGATTGTGACCGAGCACACGGCAGAAACGCTTCCCCGGGAGGGTTCCGCAGCGGGTGGGGATGCCTTTGCAGGGCCACGGTGCAGCCCACCCCCCTCAGCATCTGCTAAATCCCTTTGGCGGGGGCACAGCCCAGGCCCTGCTCAGGCGGTTCCTTTCGGGCTGCCCTCCTCTCCTCTGAGATGGCTTCGGGTTGTGCTGGCCCTTCCTCCGGGCCCGATCCTGCTCTCTTCACACTTGGTAGGAGCATCAGTTTTTCAGTTTGTCTTTTGTACGCTGAAAGCGGACCTGGAGGTACTTCTTTTTTGGGCTACTGCACTTGCTGCCCGGACCCCAAAATCTCTAACCCCATGCAGGAGTGACACCGCAGCTCACTTACAGCCACCCAGGCTCCTCGGGCTGGAGCCTCCCTGCGCCGGCCACCGCAGCGGCTCCCTGCAGCCCTTTGCCGCGGTCCCCAGGGACAAGGTGAGCTCCTGCGATCCCGTCCCCCGAGCCCGGTGCTGTGCCCCGTTCACAAAGCCCCTTCCCAGTCCCCGGCTGGATTCATTGCCACGTCTAAATGGCTTGTTTGGGACTCACAACACCAAAAGGCGAGAGCAAACAGAGAGTAACATTACACCTTGGCTTGTTGATGGCGGGAGGCAGCCGGCGCCAAGGTAAAATGCTTGGCTGGGATCGAGACGAGCAGGAAGGAATTGGGGTAAGTAGCTTTATCCGCCCCTAATGACTCGGTGCGGCTGAGATTAATGGGAAGACTGGAGTTTGGCTCTCAGGACCTGCAGACCGACGAG